TAAAACTAAAGCACGTGTACCTATCGAGTAACCGTTTAATCATCTTTTCGAATGAGCACTTTCCGCCGCACCAGACGCAGCTGCTGCCAAGAAAAATGTCACCGACGGCGACGGACGGTTGGTCAGACGGAAACTTGAATGGCTGACTCATCATCTGTCACACTCGAAAGCGGTGAAAATATATCCAATGTTATTAAACCCGGTCGCCGGTCGTCGCAAATATAGAACAGTCGGAGTTCGGTTCGCGACGCGTGCGCATATTCACTGGCGACCGAAACGTGTGACGTCACAGAGCTCGATCGTGGTTCACGAGTACGAAGCGCCCGTCGACGTATACGAAGTCTATGATTCCAGCATCTGTTGCGGATTCCGAGTGTATTCTCTTTTTGAATTTCAAAGTGTACGTTGTTGTTATTTGTTATTCTTTTCCAAATAGTGTTTTGTGGATACGTGAAAACAGTTCTGATTGCCCGTTAGACTCTAGACTAGACTGATAGTCAATAAGGTCTATCAAATAAAAAACCCCTGTGCCTTTACTCCATTGCTTTGTTAAAAGCTGGTTTTAGAGAATAACAATATCTATACTTTAGCCCTCTTATTAATAAACAAGGATTAAGCTAAGTTACGCTGTTTTTTGTTCATGTCACTCAAATGCCATTTGTCATTCAATAGACAAAGACAAAATATGGAGTTACTAATCTAAGCGTAGTCGTTTATTAATAAGGGTGTAGGTGTTTTAAAATTAGTAAATATTCACCGAAAAAGTAGATACCTTTATATATTTTTTTATCAATCTGTTAAATATCGAAAACTTTGTTGGAAAAGTTCGGCGGTTTTGGATAACTCGACATAAGTCAACTATCCTTAGAGTTACCTATGCCTATTTTGATTTATGGATGTTCAAGGATGGCTCAGCTTGCCTTATGAAAAATTGCTCCTTGTTGACGTTTAAGCGTGTGAAGTGTCACAACACTAAACACACACTTAAAAGACACTTGTTGTAATGGTATCACCATATGATATTAACAATTGAAGGGTTTTTTACAAAAACTACATAACTAACAATTTTAAGGTATTTTTTTAATGATGGCAATATGATCTATGAAAGAAGTTACACCAGACAGTTTAATTCGATTTTACAAAAACAGTATAATTAGCACAGAATCGCACAGTAAAAAAACACATATTTTACAAAAACTACACAACTGCGTGCAATTTTTAAAAAAATTACGTATCTGAACGTAGATAAGTAGTTTTTGTGAAAAAATAAAACCACCATTTGTCTTAGTTAAGTAAAACTTTACTGGAGAATGGACAAGAATCCATGTACGGACAAAGCGTCCACTGCCTTTGGAACTGAATTTTAGTCCATTGTACAAGGCTCAAATTCCATTGAATCCTAATAAAGCTAAGGATATTCAGAGATTGAAACATTTTTTGAGTGAACCATACAAGATGATTATCTATGATAAAATATGTGAAATTTTAGCAAAGGAAGAAGATATTGATAATGAAGATGTAAGTGAAGGAGAAGAATAAATAATAAGTTAATTGGACTCTATAATGGCTGTGATTGTTTGTATGTCAATAAAGTACTTAATTATGAATAATTAGATGTCTTTAATTCCAAAACTTTTACTTTTATTTTTACAAAAATAACATACACATTTTTTTTACAAAAAGAACACTAATACATACTACATTTTATAATTTTATTCCATAACAGTAGGTATAAATAATAAAAAATGTTACATATTCAATCCAATACATTAACATGAATATATTTTCAATACTTCTAAATTATTAAATGAAAAATATGGTTTGGAGAATGTTTTTTATATTTCCTGTTAAATTGTTGCTAAATAGTTGTGCTGTTTTTGTAAAAAACCCTTCAATTGTTAAAATCTTTAAAGGTCAAATAATCGTACTCGATTGTGCCGTTAGCTATATTTTTTTAATAAACCATGTAATTATTGTAATTCTGAGCAGGCGAAACCAAATGTTGACTATTCCAGCAACAATATTTTTCTTCTTATCTATTTGCCTTCACTTGGATATCAAAACGATTGTTTTCGCAATTGAGAGTTAATTTCGTAAAAACACAAAGGAACTAAAAATTGCCGTTCTCTCCGATGCAGACGATGAATTCTTGTGTCATTGCCAAATTAAAAAAGAGAACGAGAAATAATTCAAAAGTCTTTTGATATAGTTTCATCGAGTTGTTTATGTTTACATTTGCCTCATGCCGGAAATAATGCTTCGTTCTTTTTGTTATTTGCCTGTTCTTGTTCTATAAACTGGTTGTTTTTTATTTCATAATGGTGAAAAATAAGCTTTATGACCCACGTTCTGGTATGTAGCCTCCATATGGTGAAGCCATTGAAAAAGTACCTACTGATGGCACGTTGCCTTCTTTAAATCCAATATTTTGTTATATGACTAACTTTTTATCAAATCTATTAGTTTAAATTGTTAGGGATAGTCTAGTATTTATTTCAGATATCACAAGTCGCATTTAATACAAGTTCTGCAAATTATTTCAAAATCAGTTGCGTCTTCTAAAGAGTTGACTATCAAACCAAACAAAATTCGCATTACGAGGATACAATTTTAAGTGTGACACCTCAATTCTAACTTCAACAAGCTGATGTGATGTAAAGATACAAGAATTACATTACGACCGCAGATTGATGTCAATGTTGTCATGAAACCGATCAATAACAGGATAAATTTGATAATACTTGAATATGATTGTATACATAACAAAGAGCTAGTCAAATCAACATCTATTGTATTGTAATGTAAACAATTAACTGCTAATTTGTAAGCTTGACTCCGTTGTAAGGATTTGATATTGAAGCATAACATTATTGTAATCAATTATTGTCATTACATTGTGGCGTTTGATCCTCTTGATACAGTATTGAATTTCCCACAAATGTACTGCGATTGTATTGCTTCCTGCTTCATTATAAAATCATAATTATATCGGCAGTTGGAAACTAAAATCGCTAATACGCCACTTTGGTGTTGCTTAAAATTTAAATATATATGCTATTATAGCTAGGCAAATGAATCTACCCTACCTGATGTTAAGTGGTGATGAAGTCCAAAAGCGAAGATAGCTGGTACAGCAATTATAAACTGCCACACCAACCATCCTCACCTTGCCGGTCTGCAAAAATGCTTCTTCACGCTACTCTTAAAAGACCCCAGTTTTTATTCAATGGTAATTTTTAAGCAGCATCAAAGTTGTGCATAAGCGATTATGATTTTCCACTGTCGATATTTATATTTTTATATCAAAGTTTACTATAAGCCACAAAATTCTGAACTATAATTATGGAGAGTGACATTAGTTAAAAAGCTTCTATGAGATTGTAATTAACATAAGTACCTATAGAAATTTACAAATTTAGCAGGTACTGTCCATTGAAGAAAGTAATATTATAAGTCGGTGTGGTTTCGAAAAGAAGAGATGGGTCTCACTATTTTTAGCGAAGAACAGTACCCCTAGCACGAACCATTATCGAATTCGAATAGTTTGCAAACCGAAATGTCAATGTCAAATTTTGTATGGAAACTTGAACAGCAGCGGCACAAAGTAAGTAACGAGAACTAAAAATCAGTACAGATTTGACAATGACATTTCAGACTCGCAAACGATACGAATTCGATTTTGGTTCGTACTAAGGGTACAGTTCATGTGTTGTTGAATTGCTAGCGTTAATGCATGTCTTAGCAATGCTTGAGTTTTAGATGAAAAAACTTTGAAGGTCTAAAAGAGAACGAATTTTATTTTGGTATGATTCTTGATAAAGTCAAAAGTTTTATCTATTTATCACTCTTACTTATCCTTTTATTTCATAAGTCTATATATAGATTATTTGTGTAGATGCCATTTAACAAGTGTAACGAAACATTTGATTGGTATTCTCAATAGCTCTTAATGTTCGATACGTAAGCTCGCTTTTGAGTTGTACTAAAACCTTGAGATATCGCTTGCTCGTCGTCTTTTCTTTACCGGGAAGTGTGGCTGGTTCATTTTATTCGAGGAGCAGTCTAGCCGGGCAACGACCGTAGTTTTGCACCATGACATTTACGTTTTGGGCTGTCTAGAACGAATTTATTTGCGTACGTTACAACGATTCATTGGGAGCTAACGGCACATTCGCGGAGTAGATATGATTGAGAGGTTGAAATAACTCGCGTATATCTTTCATATCTTCTTTTTAAATAAAACAATATACGATTACTTGGTGTTTGATACAAACACTTGACTTTTAGAATTTTCGTCTGAATCGTTTAAAATTTCCGTGAGTACGAGCAAAATATTTTTATGGAGCTACTTTAAAATGGCTCTTAATTAAAAAATATATTTAATTTTACTGTCGAGACATAGGTTTTAGAAAGACGATATTAACTGTTTTTCTTTAAATATTGAAACTAAATATTACTTTTTCTACTTACACACAAAATTAAATTAATCAGAGCTCAGAGTTGGACCCTCATCAGAACTCTCTTCACCTGTCCAAACCCTGCACCTCCTGTCCCGGCGAACGTCAAAACATGTCACGTCATGTTGCGCTGACGGGACGGAGTTAATTTGGTACATAAATGTAAAAATGCTGCCCGTTTTATACAGAATCCGAAGAGATTTGTTTGTTTTGGTGATTTCAAATTTAAATTTAACCAATAGTTCATTGAGTGACATAAAACTAGAAATATATGAAAAACAAACACCCTAATCTTTTCTTATTTTTTTTTCAAATACTATTTAATAAATTTGGCCTTTCAATGTCTTAATTATCTTAAATACATTAGATAAAATATCTTAATTATTAGAAAAAAAAGTACTCTATAAGCAACAATTACCACTCTCAGTAATTGTCATTGAATTGACACAACAGCTTATCAACAGCAACAGCAATAGGTTTGTAATTTGATATAGTAAACGCCCCCTAGTGCAGTGCAGATATTAATAATAAACTGAAGCTAAAATGGAATACGGCATGCTCAGAAGTGGACTGAAATGGAACGCTTACACAAACGTTACAATAGTGAAAGACTTTAAAATAGAAACTTTATACGAACCCAATGATAAAGACGAAGAAAATAATGAAGCGGACAACATAAATGAGGCCGGAGAAGTTTCTAATTGTTACTATGAGAATCCACTTTTCGTTCCCAAGGAAGTTCTAAAGATAAGTGATAGCGCAGGACTAATGAACGGTGAGGGGAACTTGGGGGATTATAAGTTTTGCGACAAGTTTGTCATCGGGGAGGATGAGGCTGTTGTGTATCTGTCTACGAGTAAAGCGGCGAAGTTGCAGAGAGCGCTCAAGAATGCCGGCTATAAAAAGGTATGTTTTGTTTTTAACTTGAAACTTCTTTAAGACATTCAATCTGAGCTATTTGTAGCTTTTCGAAACTTTTGGATAAGTACTTTTTGATGTGAACAAAATGTGTCATTAATAACTATATGATGCACATGTAATTAAATTTTATTACTTTATGAAGTTTTTTGGAAGTCCTGCCCTGTAATTTTGTAAGAACAGACCTTAGATTAAATCAAATTGATTTAACCGCAGAATCCGCGGTGGTATTTGGAAATTTGTATTCTAATTTAAAATCATACGCGGATTCCGCGGTGAAAAGTGAGTTTGTTCGTACCAAATAGCACGGCAGTTGAGAAAACTGATACATCCAGATTTTCTAAAGCACAGTTATCTATATATATATATATATATATATAGAGTTTTACATATATATATAAAACTCAAAGGTGACTGACTGACATAGTGATCTATCAACGCACAGCCCAAACCACTGGACGGATCGGGCTGAAATTTGGCATGCAGGTAGATGTTATGACGTAGGCATCCGCTAAGGATTTTGATCAATTCTACCCCCAAAGGGATAAAATAGGGAATGAAAGTTTGTATGAAACTTTGTCAATTTTAAACCGATCGGGTTGAGACTTTGCATGCAGGTATAAGAAGAATCATAGATGAATGTCACTGTGTATAATACAAGACTGAGAACAAAAACTGTAATTTACACTCTACACCGAAGCGAAGCGAGGGCGGGCCGCTAGTTAACACATAAAACCTTAAGGACTCACGACACTTCTAATGAAGAATATTAAAAATAAGTCCGAATAGTTAATATCAAATTGCCAATCATCTACTTGAAATAAATATAAGAATATAATTTTAATAATATTAAGGCAATATTAAGACAACCTACAATATAAGACTAAGTGATTTCTAGTGTTAAGATAATAATATCCTACTTTGATATTTATTGCGGTAACATTGTTATTAGTCTACAAACTAAACCGTACTCACTTTGGACGTTCATGTGAATTTACTGGAATATTCGGTGCACTACCTATTAGTGCTTTCATGCCAACGGCCATTGGACTGAAAACTCATTTGGGGATTGCAGGGACTTCAATTGCTATTTACATCCCGATTGCATATTATATGTGAAAAGGTATTATGTATTTGAGTTTGCGTGCTGCAGTTTAGACCACATCGTTGCTTATCAGGTGCGATTGTGGACAAATGCAATCAAATCTTTTATAAAAACAATATGATATGTCTGACTGATGATACCCTATTTCAAGTTTACTGAATAAGTGGAATCCATAATCTTTAACGTTGTCGAGATGGCAAGTAGTTTAATGATCTATTGTTTTGTAATAAAATTAGATCAGTTATATTGTTTTAAACTTTCATGGTCACTAACATTATAGTATTATAAGTTATTTACGGGATTGTTACCATGTACTCCGTATATGTGTTACTCCGTGATCATGGCGCTTGCAACAGTGCCGAAATATCGGAAACTCGCTAAAAACAAGGTACATGGTAACAATCCCGTAAATAACTTATATTACTATAGATCAGTTATATTATGAAAAATACAATGTTTTGAAAATATGGATAACATCCAGATAAATTTGTATTTTTATCATGGACCATGGCAAATATACAAATCTGATCTGTTCACTGATTTTGTCTAGTTTATCTATGCTAATTTTATAAAGAGGAAAGATTTGCTTGTCTGTTTGTTTGTATTGAATAGGCTCCGAATCCTACATTATTCCTGATGAAGATAGGCTATAGAGTATTTTCAAAAATGTAGGGTTCCGTATGAAAACTTGGATAATGTATCCCAATGTGTTAAATAAATACCAATAAATAACCTTATATCACGTACGCTGCGGAATTCATTGGAAATAGAACAATGTGATGTACTAAAGTTTTATAGAGGACATCAATACCTACAAAAAAAGTCCGCTTCTCCTAAGAATTAACTATACCGGACAAATTTTGCACCAATTTCATTCTACTAAACAATTATTATTCGGTTAAGCATTCATTAGAAATTCTTTTACAACAGCAAAAAATTTGTTCAGATCTACGTTTAATAATGTATAGCTTAGCTTAGTTCGTATAGGTACCTTATAACAATTTGTTTACACAAAAAAGAAATCTATATTCCCTATCATACATGCAACTGCATAAATTGTTTATCCCATGGAGCATCCTTTATATCTCCGCAATATTTTACTTGTACCCGACAATTTATACAGTACGTTGGAGTGAAATATGGAATGTATTCTGCAATTCGTTTCAATCCTATTTTGAGCCATGCGATGTTAGAGACTAGTGATGTAACGAATGTAATTTTTTGAACATTCGCGAATGCGAATGCGGATGCGAATGTCGGGTACCGATATTCGCGAATGCGTTTTTTTTTTTAAATTAGCGCCAATTGTCTATGGCATGGTGGCAGTCTCGTTCGAATTGCCGAGTTGATATGAACTCATCCGACTGAACTGTCATTCCGCTCGCAACGGTCTTTCCGTAAACAAAACAAGTGAATTTTGAGGTTAGTGATTGTGAGTGGTAATAGTGATTTATTAACATGAGTAAATCGAATTTTAGTGAAACATCGACTTATTTCACACTTTGCGATGCTGAACGAGCTAAATGCAAACTGTGTAACAATGAATATTCAAGGAAAGGCAGAACTACAACTTCTGCAAATTGTTTTTTTTTAATATTCATATTCGCAAAACATTCGCAGAGATTTTGCGAATGTGAATGCGAATATTCAAAAATATGCGAATATTCGCGAATGCGTATGAATCACTATTAGAGACGGTTGTTTACAAAGTTGTATGGGTCGGTTTCCATATGAATTAAACAGCAATTTCGTTCGCGGATTGCATGCGGCTGTATTTGTTTCGCAACATATAAATTTACTCGTAAATCTTGGTGTGTACCGTTGATTTAATTGTATAAAACTTTTGCAGTAACTTTAGTTGAGTGTACACTCTCACTATTTTACGTATATTATTTACTGCTAAACGAATAATTGTTTAAAAATTAAAAGGATTGTTTTATTTTAATTGATACGGAATCTTTATAGCATATACCTGTGATTCTGAGTTTAGCTGTCATCATCAGCCTATTAAAGTCCCCACTGCTGGGGCACAGGCCTTCCCTATGGATGGAACCGGGAGATTAGGCCATGACCCACCACGCGGGCCCAGTACGGATGGGTGCTAACGACTACAGATGCAGCCGGGACCAACGGCTTAACGTGCCTTTCGAAGCACGGAGGGGCTCGAGATAGTAAATTTTTGGTCACCCATCCAATGACCGACCACTGCGGAAGTTGCTTAACTTCGACGATCGCAGTCGATCGCGCTAACCACTTGCGCCATCGAGCTCCTCGCCAGCGATTTTAGTTGTAGTCATGCATAAAATAAAAAATCAAAATCAATATACCTTTTTGAAATTGGATGTATAGTACAACTCTTTTGTATCGTCTAAACACCTTTTTCCCTATCACTTTTATTGGACATATTTTTTAGCGAAAACAACTTCACAACATTAAATTAATTCTGTAAAAACTATTACAAATAATTATATTGTTACGACGTCAATACAATCATGATTTATTTCATACCGAAAACCTGTTGGAATTATTGGAACAGTTCAAACCCAAGCATTTTTGTCTGTAATATAATCAGACTCTTTGTAATAAGCTTTTTCAATACTATCTTTGAATTTATTTATGGTTAAATCTTGGATATTGCTTGGGACTTAATTGTATAAGTGAACACAAAGACCTTCTTATTATATGTTATAAAATACCTATGCATCAAATGCTGATTAGAGATCGGGTCAATGTCAATATTCCAACTGTATGTACATGGACATTACGAAAATTGGCCATACACATTTTAACAATGCTGCAGTACCGAACATATCATGTATTTAACAATAAAAAAAAATGCTATCCGCTACCTGTCTATCGATTACTAATTTTTTATGATTACAAAATCTGTTATAAATTTATTTATTATGTTTTCACGAACACAAGTCATTAAATAAAACTGCTTTGGAACGGGTTTAAAATTTTTACGTGTACGAGTTTTTTAATACTTTTATACACATCTCTACATTTCGCAGTAGACTAGAGTATATCTCATACTCTTGAAAACGTAGCCTCTAAAGCAGTGATTCCCAAAGTGGTCTATATCGACCCCTAGGGGTCTATGACAACCTGCAAGGGGTCTGCGTCAGCGAAAAAAATCAATATCAGGTAAGTAGGGGGTCTACCCAACTCGGAAAAACATGGCAAGGGGTCTACGACACAAAAATGTATGGGGAACTCTGCTCTAAAGGATGCGAAACGTAGAGATATGACATTTTTAAACCCGTTGCAAAGTATCTTTTATTAAATTACATTTTGCCGTCACATTTTCTCCTACGACAGTTATTTTAGTTCTTCCGTAACGTGCTCGGAACAAGGACCACTCATGTGCACAGTTCGTCTGTTAATTGGACAACTCTCGTGGCTTGGACGGGGTGTATGTACTGTATAGAGACACCACACAATATCAAACCCTTTTAGAGAACTATGAACTTTATGTCATACGAGTTAAAATTCAAACCTTTTAAAAAAAAAAACCGGCCAAGTGCGAGTCGGACTCGCGTACCGAGGGTTCCGTACAAAAATATTCAAAAATATTTTTTATTTTATGATGTAACTAAAAATTTACGGTTTTCGCAATTTTTGCTTTATCTGTACTATAAGACGTTACTTGGTACCAAATTTCAAGATTCTAAGTTCACGGGAAGTACCCTGTAGGTTTTGATTCCCGTGCGAGTTTCGAAAATTTGCGGCATAAATGGCTGTATCTTTTGATTGCTTTGGCTTAGAAGTTTGATTTTTTCATAGCTCCAAGGGACAGTAGACCTGAGTATAAGGTATGAATTTCAGTTTGATACCTCCACGCGTTCCTGAGAAAAACGGTCTTGACAGACGGACGGACGGATGGACAGACGGACAACAAAGTGATCCTATAAGG